TTGGCTGGCTAAGTGCCTACTAACGCTATTTTACCGTGAGTGCGCTCTGATTGGCTAATCGTCCATTACTGGCGAATGTGAGAACTATATTTGACTGTGACTGGCGGTATTTGGCATTTATTCACCGTGAGTTAATCGTTGTGTAGCTATAAACATACTCAACCAGAAGGAGCAATTCGTTTTGTTCATTTTTTCCACAGGTGTTGTTATCATTCTAAAGGAGGCGACATTTACTAGAACCTAATAGAACCTGACCTAACCATAGAAACCTACCTAACCAACCATAGAAACCTACCTAACCAACCATAGAAACCTACCTAACCAACCATAGAAACCTACCTAACCAACCATAGAAACCTACCTAACCAACCATAGAAACCTACCTACCTAACCAACCATAGAAACCTACCTAACCTTACCTCACATCCTAGCTGGTAATATCAAATAGAAAGTACAGTACTCAGCCAATCACAGTGCTCTCATGGTAAAATAGCATTAGTAGGAACTTAGCCGGTCACGGGAAAATATCCATTACGTATCGAATAGCGTTCCATTACCCACATGTTTTCCTTCTTCATAATCCTCCTAAGTATAGAGGTAAAAATATAAAATAAGTATTGTAAGTTTTCTAAGAGTAGAAATGTATTAGCATCAGGTAAACCATAACGAAGTCTAGTGAATCGCTTTAAATTTGCGTCTTCTGGCAACTGTCTTAGACCATCAACTAAGAAACAGTACTCTAAATAATGACCTGTATTTCCATTCTCACTTGTACTCATGTCTCTGGTGGTTCACTTACAGGAGAATATTATCTAACAACCTGGACTGAGCCGCTCACTATATAACAGAGCGGTTGACTAGTCACCATGAGCTGGACCGGACCGCCACGCCGTTTTACCGCTGAGAAACAAGAAGTAGTGTGAGCCTAGGGACCCAATTATCGACGAAACGAAGTATTTGCCCAAATGATTATCATATCCGAACTCACTGGTGAAAATGATATAAGAAAAGGATCCATCAAAACAAATTAAGAGGCGAAGGGCGTCACTATTTGCCATGATCTAGTCTTTCTTTTTAAATTTGCGGCTTTTGGCACTTACGACTCGGACCTTTAAATAAGACCGGTATCTCCATTCTCACTTCCCCTCATGTCTCTCGTGATTCACTTACAATATAATCTAATATACTATAGAAATAGCCGTGTGTCTGTGTGTGTGTGTGTCTGTCTGTTCTGGGCAGCCAAAACGGTACAATCATTTTTCATCAAACTTGGTGGAAAAATCGCAAAAAATTCGTAGAGTGGAACAAACCTGGTCTCATGTCGATGGTTTCTTTAGGAAGGCATTAATTAACCATTTTATTTACGCTGGAAAACGATGCAAGTCTACCGAGTTGGCGCACCCTCATTCGCTGTACACTGTCAGCCTGACGGCAGTTGCTCGCTAGCCAAGCATGAGCGTTCAAACTTTCACAGGGCACGAAGGGCCTGCGATCACTTGTATTATATATCAACCTGGAATCATAACTCTAGTGTCATTTTAATAAAATTTTACTGTACAACAAACCTAAATTCGTTGTGCCCGGTGAAGGAGCCGAATACTGCTTGTGAGGTGAAAATTCTTCTTTCCTCATTAAACTCCACTTGATTATAACAGAAAATCCTTTGAGTCCTTATCCTTACAGAAAACTCCTTCAATTATGAAATTTAGCGATAATTGTAGTAAAAAACGGTAACTTTAAATAAAAAAAAACGTATAAAACTGCAATGTTCAAAATAGCGCTGCTCTTGTTGACGTTGTCGGCGCCGGCCGCCAGATGTCAGGACAACCTTTTAATTAAAGACCTTTCTGGTAAGGCATTTTCGATGAACGGATTAGCTAATGCATTAGCTATTCTGTATGCACAGACCCTGCTTTTGACTTATGCCCATTACACATTCAGAGGGAAAAGCTAACACTTCGATCAGGCGTTAGCCTTGTGCAGTGCCCAAGCTGCCCAAATAGCTAACAACCAATCAGCGATTTCTCCCACTGAAAATATGGGGACCATGGCCGCTTATGGAGAATATTTTGATTAATATTGAAGAGTTGGGCCATGTAAGGCAATAAAAATCTGTGAAATAACAATAAAAAATAATTCTATATACGGTAGTATATTGGATAGGACCTAAAACAAAGTGTGTGGCGTGAAAAAATTGAAAAGAATTGTGACTAGTTGAAACCAGTTTTGGCACTACCCATTTTCAAATGGGCCCTGTCCCATTTCGTTGGTGACTTTGGAGTACCAATATTGATAATTACTCAAATATGATTAAAACTTTAATATCACTACTCATAAGATACTTTTAATGAGGTGAACAAGTTGAATACAGTTCTGTAAGTGCAAAAATTAAGACTTAACGAACCTGAAATTCGACGTATTGAGTGTGTAAATATGCAAACACAGCCGCGAGAGAAGAAGGGTACAGCTCTTCAGTTGAATGTCACTTGTGGTTTCATAGTCCTGGAGAAATTACCTACACAATGGGCCCGATTTTGTGTCTTATTCTTATTTATTATTGACTCATTGACTTTTTTTCCTTTTTGTCTTTTTTCCATAATATTCTATATATTTTCTTCACTATTTCTTCCCTTATTGTGTCCAAATAACAGTTCTCCTAATTTTATTGTTTTCTGAAGACTGTGTTGTACAAGTTATTTCCAAGGCGCGGTACAATGTCGTATTTTTTAATGACAGTCCGGGAAAGCTAACACGTTAGCTATTCCAAGCATCGTAAGAGGCCGTGCAATAAACGCCTTTAATGTCCTCCTTTACGATATGTTTTCCTCATCAAATCAAACTAAAGTTATTCATAATTTTATTTAGTGTTAAAATACAGTATATCGATAGTATGTAAGAAAACTATAAGAAATGTTTTAGAACGACAACGGGTTAGGAGAAACACCAGCAGACCTGATAAGTTGGGAACATTTCATCCATTTATATTAGTATTTGTATTTTAATCATAAATTGTCCCTAGACCCTACCTAGCACAAGTACCCAACTCAGCAATTCTCACAACAGTCCACAGTGTGTTGTAAGAGGCTCTGAATGACGAGTGTTGCTTTCTAAAAATATAAAGACTAAATAGAGAATGGCGACAGACGCTGGAAGACCTCAAAGAAAATGACGACAGCGAGGGACAAATTAAGCTATTGCTGTGTTGTCTGTATTTAGAACAGGCTCTTGTGTTTCTATTCATGGCTTCTTTAGTGTTAATTTTCCTCTTATTATTATTATTATTATTATTATTATTATTATTATTATTATTATTATTATTATTATTATTATTATTATTATTATTATTGAGAACAAAAATAAAACCTAGCCCAAAACAAATACAGATGACGTAGAGACAAAAGAACAAGGTATCAAACCCAAATGATGATGGTGGAGACTCAGGCAGTTAATTAATGAAATAAATAAAGACGCAACGTAAATACTCCTATTTATTGAATATGTTTTAAAGTATATAAAGTATATATCTCTTGAAATGCCACACCAGTTTGGCGTATGTTTATTTGGTACTACTAAATAACTCTTCGTGATGGAGCCAGTACTATGTTGACAATATAACCTCGCCCAAGGTCCACGCATCAGAGGCTCGAATCTCACACAGCCACCTAAACCCCAAACAGCAATTTATTGTATAATCTGACTTATTCAACTATACGAGTTTTAATTTTCCTGCCGAGAATAGATTTAGCCATCAATATATAAGTGGGTATCTTTTGTAAATATAAGCTTGTAAAGTTCAATTGTCCTTCAGTTTTGAGATTTCACGCTATTTGGTGATAATGCTGTATAGGAATGAGTGATGAGCACGTACCAGGATTCAACAAGTTTACGTTACGATGAATCCGTTCGTAGGTCCGTCTAAGACTTGTAAAACCAAAGAGGTAAAGGAAATAACACCATCAGCTAACCCCTGTTCAAAGTTATTGTCTCAAACCATTCCTAACAGCACAGCTAAATAATAGAGGTCCTACGGAATGAACATTAATAGAAAATGACAAAATAGTTGGTAGTGTCAAAATATATAACTATACAAAATAAATACAGGAGGGGCAACAGAGGCAATAATTCAGTGGCGGATCTAGAACCTAAAAACTCGCGGGAAGGGGAGAGGGAGACAGAACAACAATATGCCCAGCTGGCTATATACCAAGGGACAGTATATATAGTGTTTACAAATATACCCAGTTGGCTATATCCTACAACTTGTGGTTACTACAGGAGGACCTACGGCACATGGTTACTTCAGGGGGACCTATAGCACGTGGTTACTGCAGGAGGACCTACATCACGGGGTTACTGCAGGAGGACCTACATCACGGGGTTACTACTGGGAGGACCTACAACACGTGATTACTACAGGAGGACCTAGATCACGTGGTTACTACTGGGAGGGCCTACAATACGTGGTTACTATTGGGAGGGCCTACAACACGTGATTACTACAGGAGGACCTACATCACGGGGTTACTACTGGGAGGACCTACAACACGTGATTACTACAGGAGGACCTACAGTACAACACGTGGTTACTACTGGAAGGGCCTACAACACGTGGTTACTACTGCTAGGGGGACAGGGAAGAGAGGTACCTGAACTGCCTACCTGTAAACACACACACACAGTTTTCAAGGATTAACTCTGAATCTGCTTTGTGTTCGTCCAGTCATCTCATGAAGCAGTCTCTAGCTGAATAGGGTGCAGAGTGATGTCTGTCTTGTCTGTTGATGCAAAGTCGTCAATCATATCATCTTTGTTAAATAGTTGAGTTAATGAAGCAACTATTAATCTATACTCGTTGTTCACTGCAGGTACGAGTATTTCTGATAATTAATCAACCGTGGATAGTGGCAATAGAACCATAAAGAACATTCAATGTTCTTTATTCTGTCGGGAGTCTGTTCAGGCATCATATAAAATACTTCCACTAAAGAAAACCAAGTTGTCTATTCATTGTGCTCAGTTAGTAACACTGGTCTTCTGGACACACCGTTGGCACTACTGCTTACATTACTCCAGGTGGTGCTGTTCGACTTCCCACTCTCCTGGAAATAAAAACAACAATTTATGTTCAAGACACAAAGGTGAACACCAGCCCAGGTCCCCTATACTTAAAAGCTACAGAAGAACAAGCGAAATAAAGCTGGTCCCAGTTGCTCATTACACAAACAACAGGTATGGACCAGCATAATGTCAACAATATAAAGGAAACCAGAGCGAATGAGATAGAAAGCAAAGTTAATATATCTCATATTGCTTAACATAATACACTAATCATAACTATTTAATTAAAGCTGTTTACCTGACGAGCTGTGTCAGTGACGGAGGAGGAGCGGACGGTGTAGGCCTGCCGGTAGAAGTTGACGAAGAGCACCAGGAACATGAGGGAGTTGTGAAGGAGCCAACACGTCACCAGCGCCGGCACCTCACAGTCAATGAACAATACCTGTAGGAACAATCATATAGATTATTTAGTGAGGTCAGTAAACTTATACTGAATTAAGAATTATATTTATTATTAGGCCTATTATTATTATTATTATTATTATTATTATTATTATTATTATTATTATTATTATTATTATTATTATTATTATTATTATTATTATTATTATTACTATTCTATCTTAAGTACATACATACATACAGTACATACATACATAATTATGGAAGCCCCTCGAAATCGAGAATGGCCGGCCCAAGGGCCACCTAGGCGTGAATTTGTTTAAGGTGTAGAAACTGTCGCCAACACAACAATCACACCCTAAGTTAACGAGGTGCATGACCCAGTGTCAAGGAATAGTCCGAGAAGACCGGACAACTCGCCAACTGCACTGGCTAACCATTACCCCGAAATACGATCCGCAAGTCGATTAACATCCAGGTTCCCAATTACTGTTGGGTAGACAGAGGCAAATGACGTAAAGAAACTTGCCCATGGTTTCATCCTGCCCGAGGATCGTACCCGGGTCCGCTCGCTTGCTAGGTGAGGATACATACATACATACATACATACATACATATAGAGAGCGAGAGAGAGGCAATATACTCGGAATTCGGGACCAATGAAACACACTTTAGAATGTGAATTATTTCACTACCGTGCAGATACTTTGATGGACAGTGAGGGAGGATGGTTAAGGAGATGAGAACCACAGTAATAGTATAAGAAGGAAACTTGGTCAGAAGAGTCTGAAGGCCGAAGTTTGTCAAAGGACAGAGAGAGAGAGAGGGGGGTCCTGGACAAAAAAGACAAAACTCACCAAAGTTACTGAAAACAGAGATAAAGTTAGGAATAAGATGAGAGAGAGAGAGAGAGAAGAGGAGGTTTGCAGTGGAGTGGTCAGGGAGACACATGGCCATTGTGTCTCGAAATAGATCTTGTATAAAGACGATTTTTGTTCTTATCTTTGTAAATAATAACAGTATATAAAACAGTATAGATAACAGGAAGAGACCGGCAAAGGGAGACGTGTGAACAGTAAGGTGTGAGAGACCGTAAGTGCTCGTGGAGATCTTAACACTGGACACGAGTTACGAGTTTTCCATAGCGTATTATTATTCATCCAAGACCTCCTTATATTAATGAATTTGTTCTAATGTAGTAATGACAGTCACAGGTCCAGCCTATTCTACCAGTCACCAGTCTATCCTCTTATGTAGAAACGACAGTCACAAATCTTGCCTCTCCTACCAGTCACCAGTCTATCATGTTAATTGTGTGATAAAAGACCAACATTGAAGACTATAACTCATTGTGCTACATGTCTGGGTCGGCGTCAATTTAGCCAAGTTTAGTAACATTTTGCAACAACTTGCAGCAGCTAAATGTCTCCCAGCTGCTGGAAAATCGTGTGACATTTCAGCTTTAGTTTGAGATCTTTCCAAACACTGAAATACGTACTTAATGTTTTCCTTTGTTAAACAGAAGCGTTTTTATGCACCATCTATAAAATGTTTTCAACTAAATGGATCTGCCAATATGTATAAATTATGAATATATGTATACCAGGGTGTACACTGCTACAGAAAGACAGAGATAGGGTGACAGACAGAGACAGGGTGACAGACAGAAAGACAGACAGAGACAGGGTGACAGACAGAGAGAAAGGCAGGCAGACAGTGAATCAATACTACTAGCGAACACGACCTACAGTAATTTATTCATTCACATTGTATTTCTTGATCACAGAACGAACCTAACCTAACCTAATCTAACCTAACCTAGCCTAACCTAATCTAACCTAACCTAGCCTAACCTAATCCAACCAAGAGAAAAGTAATAATAATAATAATAATAATAATAATAATTATAATAATAATAATAATAATATCAAAGATGAAAATAATGAAACAAATACTAAAATTAGCAATAACACTGATAAAAATAAGAATAATAATAACATATATTTTTAAACATCGCCCATGAACTATAAAAAAGAGAAAAAAATATATACGTACATCAATACCAAATATTTCACTGAACCTGACCCACCTTACCTGAATAGAGTGAAGTAATACTATGACGAACTGGACAATTTGGACACAGGTGAGGCACATCTTCCAACTGACGGAGGGGCGGAGGCGGGGACCCATAGCCGCCAGGAGGTAATACGTGTACATCAAGGCGTGTACAGTGGCGTTAGCGAAGGCCATGAAGGTAGTCTGGCCACCTACAGCAGGAACGATGGTGAGAGATAATGAATAACACGGGAAAAAACTATTGACTTACATCATCATCATTGTACACACACACTCACCATCACAACACACTACCACAACCACCACCACACACTTACCATCACAACACACTACCACCACCACCACACACTTACCATCACAACACACTACCACCACCAACACCCACTCACCATCACAACACACTACCACCACCACACACTCACCATCACAACACACCACCACCACCACACACTTACCATCACAACACATCACAACACCACTACCACCACCACACACCACCATCACACCACACCACCACCACCCACACCACCCACAGCACACACCATCACAACACACCACCACCACCACACACCACATCACACCACCACCACCACCACACACCCACCATCACAAACAACACCACCACCACCACACACCACCATCACAAACACCACCACCACACACACCCACCATCACAACACACCACCACCACACACACACCACACAACCACCACACACCACCACCACCACCACACAACACACCACCACCACCACACACTTACCATCACACACCACCACCACACACCACCATCACACACCCACCACACACTCACCCACACCACCACCACCACCACACCACCATCACAACACACCACCACCACCACACACCCACCACACAACACACCACCACCACCAACACCCACCACCATCACACCACCACCACCACCACACACCACCACACACCACCACCACCACACACACCATCACAACACACCACCACCACCACACACCACCATCACACACACCACCACCACCACCACCACACACTCACCATCACAACACACTATATTCCACCACACACTCACCTACACACCACCACACCACCACCACCACACATCACAACACCACCACCACCACACACACCACACACCACCCACCACCACCACACACCTATCATCACAACACACACCCACCACCACCACCACACACACCACCATCACACACACACCACCACCACCACACACCACCATCACAACACACCACCACCACCACCACACTTACCATCACAACACACCTACCACCACCACACACATCACACACCACCACCACCACCACACACACCACCATCACAACACACACACCACCACCACACACACCACACACACACTCACCACCACCACACCCACCATCACAACACACTACCACCACCACACACACCATCACAACACACCACCACCACACACACTTACCATCACAACACACCACCACCACCACACACCACCATTACAACACACCACCACCACCACACTTACCATCACAACACACCACCACCACCACACACTCACCATTACAACACACTACCACCACCACACACTTACCATCACAACACACCACCACCACCACACACTCACCATCACAACACACACACCACCACCACACACTCCACCATCACAACACACTCACCACCACCACACACTTACCATCACAACACACTACCACCACCACACACTTACCATCACAACACACCACCACCACCACACACTCACCATTACAACACACTACCACCACCACACACTTACCATCACAACACACCACCACCACCACACACTCACCATTACAACACACTACCACCACCACCACACACTCGACATCACAACACACAACCACCACCACACACTCACCATCACAACACACTACCACCACCTCACACTCACCATCACAACACACCTCCACCAACACACACTCACCTGGTTGGTAGAGAGTGTTGTACCACATACAGATGGACATTACAGAGTGGTGGACGACGTGAAGAACTGAGATGTGTTTATACTTCTTGTTGAGCACAAAGAACACCTGACGTCATAATGATTGTCATTATGTAATTCAGAATATCATTCACATATTGATTCATTTTAAAGATATGGAAAAATATTTTGAACATTTACACTATAAGGAGACTTAACTTCGCTTATTGTTTACATCTGCGAAAGGCATATCTGAGGACTATGAAAAAATTTGGAGGTCTCTGGGGTTAGTTGGAGGAGGAGTTAACAGGTAGAAAGTTGATAGATGACAGACAGACAGACAGAAAGACAGACAGACAGACAGACAAACAGACAGACAGACAGACAATGTGGGCAAATAAAATAAGAGCCTATAAACCAGGTTAAGGAAGTTGGCAAATTATAAACTTTACATTCGTCTCTCTAATTCAAGCCGCCCCTTTCCCCTTGTAATCTAACCTCCCAACCCCCACCCATAACACTACTCTCTACGTCTCCCTTATACACATCTCTCTCTCCAGGTAATATAACCTTCAATCCTCCCCCCGACATCTCTCTCCCCAACCCTCCAATTTCCTCCCCCATAACCCTCCCCCAACCCCTCACACTCACACGTATTAAGACCTTCGAGGTAAAATACATAACTTAGAAACACTTGACTCTCAACCGTGCTCGACTATGTTTCACTCTATTCTAGTGGAAAATAATGAGTCGTAATACAACCCAACGAGACCACAGAGGGTGTTGAAGCGCTTCCTTAACGTCTGGCTCTCGTGCCGGTGGGGGGTAGTCCCGTCCTCAACACTGACTGACAGAGGCATATACAGTAATTTGTTTGATGATAGTGGCGGGTAGTGGCCTCCGATTACTGACTGGGTGCCGATTACTGGCTAGGGGCCGATTACTGACTGGGAGCCGATGACTGACTAGGGGCCGATTACTGACTGGGGTCTGATTACTGATTGGGGCAAATCACTGATTGGGGCCGAATACTGACTGGAGGCCGATTACTGATTCTGGACCGATTAATGAGGGGTGGAAGCAGTTTACGTGATACAAACAAAAACTCTACTGTCGACACTTGATGTGATCGACACGCGGGAAGTTTTCAGTTGTCGTACCACGGCCTTAGCATATGGAAATGGCTAAATTATTTCTAACAAAATTCACGATCATTCTTACGTGTGGAGAGAGAGAGAGAGAGAGAGAGAGAGAGAGAGAGAGAGAGAGAGAGAGAGAGAGAGAGAGAGAGAGAGAGAGAGAGAGAGAGAGAAAATCCATATAGACAGACAGACAGACAGACAGACAGACAGACAGACAGACAAACACATGTCCTCAGGAGTTTATTGTTTACATAACTCTGGCAATAATCTCTAATGAGGAATAATTATAACATGAAACCGATTAAGTGAGGAGATATATTATGCATTAAAAGCTAACCTAATAATGATGAGAGTTAAGACTGTGACCTTATTAGCATGATACAATGTTAAGCTGCGGGTGGCCTTACCAGGAAGAAGGTGGCCATTTATATGAACATTTTGGTACACTGTGGCAATTTCTTAGTCATTTTGCAGTGGTTAAAACACTCTTAATGGCACTACAGGTAATTCTGATATTCAATGCTTCTTGTTTTATAGTTGACAAAATAAACATAATAGGTGGTATTTTAGAATATGGTAATACAGGTATTCTCTCAGCAGGTACAATATACAGGTGAGGGCAGGAGTGCTCTACAAGACACAGGTGAGGGCAGGAGTGCTCTACAAGACACAGGTGAGGGCAGGAGTGCTCTACAAGACACAGGTGAGGGCAGGAGTGCTCTACAAGACACAGGTGAGGGCAGGAGTGCTCTACAAGACACAGGTGGGGCAGGAGTGCTCTACAAGACACAGGTGAGGGCAGAGGTGCTCTACAAGACACAGGTGTGAGCAGAGGTGCTCTACAAGACCCAGGTGAGGGCAGGAGTGCTCTACAAGACCCAGGTGAGGGCAGGAGTGCTCTACAAGACACAGGTGAGGGCAGGAGTGCTCTACAAGACACAGGTGAGGGCAGGAGTGCTCTACAAGACCCAGGTGAGGGCAGGAGTGCTCTACAAGACACAGGTGAGGACAGGAGTGCTCTTAAGAGCTAAAACAGGGGCTGGTGTTACTCACGGTGTCCATGAAGTCTACGAGCTTGGAGATGTAGTACCAGAAGGAGACGTGCATCATCTGGAAGAGGGGAGGGGGTTGTTACAGTGTCTCCCGGGTATACTGAAGCCGTATTACTGTGCCTATGTTTCACTTAGACTGTATGTTATTATTATTCGTTTAACTCAAAGGTTACTTGTTTCGTGAAGACAAAGGGATTGATGAGTTAGATTCATTGGCTAAATAACGTTCTAGGCTGCTTTATGGTCAGGGCTGCTAGTGTGTGTCACCCTAGATGCCTTAGCCTGCCAAAACCAATACTAAGATTCGGGGGTCATTTATGTTGGGAAGCTGCGGCCTCAACAGTCTGGCGTAAACTAACAACCTCACTCAAACACTTCCTATATCAAAAAAAGGTGGGAGTTGCTTTTCGGTATAATTGTGACTTTGTTTAATCGCCGTTCATCAACCCATTTCTTACTTTTGACGTCGCTTAACTGATTTTACTTTGCTGACACCAACTACCCAACATATGTATATTCTAAGACTTGCATGGTTTTCAATTATTATCTTTCATTGGTTGAGAATTTGTTAACATATCGAACATTAGTTTGGTCAATTTTTTTCAGTGTTCTGCTTTTGTTCACTTAATATCCCAAGTCATGTACTGTACTCGAGTGTGCGTGGAAACTTGTGTCTATACGTATGTGTGTACCTTATTCAATCAGCTATTACGTGTACACAGAGGACGTCAAAAATAAATTCACTTCCCCTTCTGTGTCAGACTTTTACGAAAACAAAGAAGCCTTTGAAGTTCAAAGTGACGATGAATTCTTTCAACGATTGTTGACAAATATACACGGCCCACTTTTTTACACCCACCCTTAGTTCCCGCACAGCAGGTATGTTAGTATGTGTAGCAGGCACATAGTTGCCATATTCTGATTGCTTTTACAATTGTTTACAAAGGAAATTTCAAGAAGACTATTCCTATATACTCGCTATACGGAGGTACAGTACATTCACACATTCTTAATAGGTATTGTTGTCTTTTTTAGGGTGAAGGAGGTAATTAACTTAATTGATCCTTAATCCTTGAGATGCAGAGTTAAAACATCAGCTGCTTTTTCCAGCACTTGAACGAGAAGTAAGTTTAGTACAGTACATTAATTCACAGCTTGCATGACACCTAGGTATATGGATACAGGAGCATCTATCTGTCTGTCTGTCTGTCTGTCTGTCTGCCTGTCTATCTATCTATCTATCTATCTATCTATCTATCTATCTATCTATCTATCTATCTATCTATCTCCATTTAATTTCGTGAGATACGCTAAATCACTACCTATTGTCATTTAATATATTCGCATACACTAAAAGTATTGTCTCTTACCATACAATTTGGTTATATAAAACATTAAAACATATTATACATAAGTAATGTAGTTTCTGTACAGGTCAATATGTAAAAAACAAAATAGGCAATACGTACATTTTTACAGACAATTTGTGCTTTTTTTTCCAGGCAATTTGTGAAATCTTTTTATGTTTGTTTGATTAGGGAGGGTAGCTTAGAGAGAGAGAGAGAGAGAGAGAGAGAGAGAGAGAGAGAGAGAGAGAGAGAGAGAGAGAGAGAGAGAGAGAGAGAGAGAGAGAGAGAGAGATCACCTTGAAGGGTCATGGCCACACTCACCCTGATGGCTAGGTACACATACGACAGAATCATGGCCACACTCACCCTGATGACTAAGTACACATACGACAGTGATGGCCACATTCACCCTGATGGCTAGGTACACATACGACAGAATCATGGCCACACTCACCCTGATGGCTAGGTACCCATACGACAGTGATGGCCACATTCACCCTGATGGCTAGGTACACATACGACAGAATCATGGCCACACTCACCCTGATGGCTAGGTACACATACGACAGTGATGGCCACATTCACCCTGATGGCTAGGTACACATACGACAGAATCATGGCCACACTCACCCTGATGGCTAGGTACACATACGACAGTGATGGCCACATTCACCCTGATGGCTAGGTACCCATACGACAGAATCATGGCCACACTCACCCTGATGGCTAGGTACCCACACGACAAAGTCATGGTCACATTCACCCTGATGGCTAGGTACACAAACGACAGAATCATGCAGACTCACCTTGACTGCATAAGGCTGGGTCGAGAAATCACACGTCTGGCAGCGGTAATTGTGCCTCCAGAACCACCCTGACGCACCTATCTGAGGCGAGAAACACAGGCAGACACTGTAGTGGCATTTAGGATAATGTGGTACATTATTATTTGTCTTTTTTAGATAGTAACCTAAGCCCCAGGTAGGTCGCTTAATCATCACGTGAAATAAGTTAAGGGGGAGGTATCTTCAGGTTGAACCATTAATAATAATAATGATAATAATAATAATGATAATAATAATAATAATAATAATAATAATAATAATAATAATAATAATAATAATAATAATAATAATAATAATAATAATAATAATAATAATAATAATGATAATGATAATAATAATAATAATAATAATAATAATAATAATAATAATAATAATAATAATAATAATAATAATAATCTATACAGTATTCCAGTTCTGATAATTAGTGAGACGAGAGCTGAGTGTTACCTGCCTGACTAACACGAGGGCGATGAGAGCCGCAGTCATAACACAAGTATCATTAAACTCATCTAATACATCCAAAATCGTCAATGACTTAATACATCCGCCACTTTAACTCCAAGACTCAAGTGTGAGATTAAATTAAAGCCAGAACATAGCCTAGACTCACCTGTGTAATCCAAACAACAGCTAGACTCACGTGTGTGACCGAAACACCAGCTAGACTCACCTGGGTAACCCAAACACCAGCTATACTCACCTGTGTAACCCAAACACCAGCTAAACTCACTTGTGTAACCCAAACACCAGCTAGACTCACCTGTGTAACCCAAACACCAGCTAGACTCACCTGTGTAACCCAAACACCAGCTATACTCACCTGGGTAACCCAAACACCAGCTAGACTCACCTGTGTAACCCAAACACCAGCTAAACTCACTTGTGTAACCCAAACACCAGCGAGACTCACCTCGTACATCAGATAGAAGGAGACGAGCACCTGGCAGGCGTTATAAAGTACCATGACGGCCCTGAGGTGTGAGGGAGGTTGTCTGCCCTGCATATATCGGGGTCCTAGAGAGGTAACGGCGGTGATGTACAAGAGGGTGAGGAGCACAGTGGGAAGAGGGGAACGCATGAGGAACCACGACTTCTGACGGGGATCTGGAGGCAGGTGGCGGGACACGAGCAGGGAGCCATACGTGGTGTTGAGTAGGAAGAAGAACACACTCCACTTGGCTACCCCACGCAGCCTCTCCAAGCCCTCTGAGGAAGAATGATGGACGTTGTTGATGTTGTCGATGCTGTTGATATTATTATTGTTTTGTTTAGGGTCAATGATGTGTTTTTATCTGCCTCAAGCAAGTCAAGTTTAATGTTTTCCTTCTTCATTTACGTTTGAGACAACATTGTTCATCACACGTTTAATACTAAACGAAATTAACCTGGATTCAATATATTTATCTAATATTCAGATTTAACTTATACATCCAATAAGATTAAATATTTTCATAAAGATGTATTTTGATTGGTGATTTAATCAATTGTGATCCTCTCTTTCAATAGTTTCTTGTTGTCCGTCAGGCTTCAGGTAAACCTCGGTACTATACGTCAATTTTATGCTCTACGTCTTTAACAATCGATTTCCTTCAAGAATTACTTGGATTTATTGACAAATTTAGTTAAAGAGTTTGTCCTTTCGTAAACTAATTTAGTGACGGCAATAAATATCAGCTTCTGCTTGCCATTATCGTCACCACATAAAGATATCTAATTTATTCTAATAGTCAACCTTATAAACACATGACAAAATCTTGAACTCAGAAACTTAAACACAGAAGATTTAGCAACACCAAGACAGTATTCCCCGTAGCTTAAGACCTACTGCTGTAGTCACTCCTAACCTGGTATGGTTCTGAAGAGCGTGTTAACTGCTACACTGATGCAGTTCTGTTGCCTCGTGTAGGAACTGACTCAGTGCCCTGTGCTTCAAGGCCTTAGATGGTGAAGCACTTTCATACGTTTTGGCAACATTGAAACCCAGTGGAGAGAGAGAGAGAGAGAGGTGGGGGACCCAAACGTGTCTATTATTCTCCTACCTGTTTCCCTCTGGTGGCTGTAGTGAGAAGCAGGAGCGGCTGCCACACTATTACGTACTGCCATGTTTTCCTCCTGGTCACTCAGCTGCCCTAAGATAACAGACACCAGACTCTCTTCAGAAAGATAAATACAACTACAAATTTAAACATAACATACAGATAACATATAATACTTCACATACATCGACATTAATATAGGTAAACAAATATGAATATAAAATTTACTTAAAATAATCATAAATGAAGAATCATTATGAATATCAAACATCAAATTCCTCCGGTTTTGATGTTCCTTAATGAATAAATGAACGAAATATCCGAAGCAATGTTAGGCTGAATAAGAATGTTAGTAATGATGACACATTTGGTATTACTGATCTGTTACATAAATTTCAGGTCTAAAGTTACAGTACATAATCTGGCTGAAATGACTACGTGTCTTGATTCTTAGGGTAATTTTGTGTGTCATCATCTGTTCTTTAGTTTAAATTAGTCAGATGGATGTATTGTTGTGTTGTCAGTCACGAGGAGTGTTCTTAGTGCAAACCTTTGTGAAATCCGACCGTAAGACCTCGAAAATCAAGGATGATATTAGTTTGATATACGAACACTAGAAGGCGAGGAAAACTTCTGTTAGCTCAAGATATAGAACCAGCACAGCCCAGCTCAGCCCAGCCCAGCCCAGCCCAGCTCAGCCCAGCCCAACCCGTACCAGGCCATCCCAACCCCGTCTCCAGCCATGCCTTTCCCGTCCCAGCCCATCCCAGACCCCCGGCCCAGCACGTTACGCCAGCAGAAGGCAAACGCTCTCACCATTTTTGTCATGCAAATTATATACACGAGTCACCTGTTCAAGGGAAGAGAATATATTTTACGTGAGATGAGAGTAAGTTAATTTAAACGAAAAGGCAAAGGGAAAAGTATGATCAAGTTACTGTAGGTTAGGTTAGGTTAGGTTAGATTAGGTTAGGTCAGGTTAGATTAGATTAGGTTACGTTAGGTTACGTTCGGTTACGTTTAGGTTACGTTACGTTTAGGTTAGGTTAAAGTTAGATGTTGAAAGTCTTAGATTTGTATGAGAACGATACACAAGCCAGCCTCACGTAGCCTAGGTAACCTGTAATTAGCTCGTTTTCAAATTTCGCGTTTTCACATCCATGGTATAATGACCAGACGACTAAAATTCACAGAGCTGGAGTAGATCAGTGCAGGTTATGTCGATATTCCTGGTTGGTAAGTGACATGAAACATGATTATAAACTTATATAAGAAACTTGGTTCAAACATTGAATCGAGGCTGAGTTAGAGGTAAGTCTCTTCGGGTCGAGATTGCATTGTATATTGTTGACAAGGAAAATCAATGTGTGAGAGTTATCATCTTCGGGGCATTAGTAAACGCTTATATGTGTCATCTGGACAGACCATATGCTGTCTCCATAACGTTACGCGCTGATAAGTGGCAGAGGAAGAGACCATTTTCAGCAAGGAGTCACTGTTTGCATTGAAAAAAAAATCGCTTTTTTATATCAAATCTTCTCTGCCATTATGCAAAGCAGACAAGTGAAAATCTAAGAAAAAAATAATTTCGTAATATTAACTTTTGCAAGTGATCTCAGAATTTCCCTGGAGAAGTAATTATTCATTAATTTTACTTATCTTGTAGGAGAACCAGGAGAAAGCAGAAACTTGGAAAGATGAATGAAATTAAAAGTTGTGGTCCTCGGAGAGTTACAAAATCGAGGAGGATTGATAAAGAAAGCCCGGAAACCTTTGGACAGGAGGGCTGTAGTCACCATCCCCCAGACCTAAAGTTGGCACCCTGATTAATTGATTGATAGTGCCAATGTTTAAGATCTGTCTATTAGGTGGCACAAGGCTCGGACAGAGAGAGCCAGTCAGCACGTTAGCATCAGCAGAACTCAAGATATAATCAAAGCAAGTATTTGCTGAGTGGCAGAAACATGTTTACTTTACCAAGAAATAATACTTAGCTCATTAATGTGTGTGTGTGTGTGTGTGTGTGTGTGTGTGTGTGTGTGTGTGTGTGTGTGTGTGTGTGTGTGTGTGTGTGTGTCATCAACTCTGGACACTACGACATACAATTAGCTGCTGGCTGATTTTTCATACAACTTAAGTCAACATTACCATTTACCCCGAACAAGAAATGTGTTTGTTTGATTTCCTCAGACAGTAATACCGGTCGACACACACACATTATGGCTGGAATTACGTTACCTCGTTAACGTCTGTGTAATCAAATACGTAAAGTGTTTGTTGTAGTCGCTTGATTTATGTAAATTAGTTGTGTTTTAATTGAAGAGAATTCGCACACAAAACGTCAGGGTTACCAACAGCTTCACGGTTACTAAATGATTCAGGGCTACCAACAGTTTCGTGGTCGTGGTGGTAGAAGAGGCACTATGGACGTGGTGGAGGCACTATGGTCGTAGTGGTAGTAGGCGATACTATGGTCATGATGGTAGAAGAGGCACTATGGTCGTAGTGGTAGTAGGGATACTATGGTCATAATGGTAGAAGAGGCACTATGGTCGTGGTGGTGGGAGGGACACTATGGTCGTGGTGGTAGAAGAGGCACTATGGACGTGGTGATGGTAGAGGCACTATGAACATGGTGGTAGAAGAGGCACTGTGAACATGGTGGTGGTAGAGACACTATGGGCGTGGTGGAGGCAATATGCTGTAGCTATGGCCGTGGGGTCACTATGAGAGGCATCGTGGAACACCTTCCTGTATTCGATTCTAATTTTCGTTTCCCAGAAGGTGGCAGGAGAGCTGGTCAGGGCACTGAGTTCGTGGTCTGCTGATTCGCTGTCCTGTCACGAATCCCCTAAGTTATATATCATATCCTGCGAGAAACAACGACCCTAATGAAATTACGTAAGTCCCATAAACAACACGAACACAACACACAGCCTTCGGTACATAAGGTAGTGATGGCCTCTACTGCATTCGCCAGTCTTCACTTTCCTGATTGTAAACTTTGGTACTTATTCATAGCTGGGTGGACCTAGAATTCCCTGGACTCTAACAGGACCTTCAGGTCAGGACACCATGGCTGTACCCACTCATCCGCTGCACTCAAAACACCACCAACCCCTATGAACGCTTGCGTAAAAAAAGGCACATAAATTTGGTGGCTTACTTCAGTACAGGATCTGCTGATGTCACGCCTGGCACCCTCACTCTTTCAAGCTGGTGTGATCAGTGATGACTGGTCCTCCTTTCAGTGGTCTTGTGGGTTGGGACATAATGTTTATAGTCGTAAGGTGTTGCAAAACAGTCGTCGAGGCAACATGTCACCACATTACCGCCAATGTTTTGATAGACCATCTCGGGGTGTGAAGTGTCTGAAACAACGAAAAAACACGCAATAATAACCATAACTCATTAGCTTCACTTGTGACTCCTATATAGTGTTGGATATAATAAAATCAAGGAGTAAAACTTGAATACTAGTAGTTAAGGGACATGAGGACTCGTAATTCACCAACTTCTCCAAGAGTTAATGTCTCGTAAACATTCTAGTTTACCAGACGTGAAAGTTTTGTAGAGCAGCAAGAGTGTCACCAGCCTGGACGTTATACGAGTCCTTACTAAGCGCCAGACTTCCTGCAGGTAAGAGTCAACATCCGCTCCACAGGGTTCACTTTGCTTTTGAAATAATTCATTGTGTAAGTGTTTGTCTACATGTGACTTATTTATATATACCTTTAATATCTTAGAGATAAATTACATACAAATAATGATTATATTTTTTTTTCTTCAGATTGCTTGGTACATGTTCACTTATATAACATTCTTAATATAGTTCTGTCCCATTTTTGAGCGATACTTATTGCTGGTAGTGGAAGTTCTTGTTCGTTAAGTACAGACAGGTAGTACTGTATATGTTAATGAGTATGATAATATTAATCCCGTGACCTGCGTTGCTCTCAGCTGTAATGATGTGGCAGGATTTATCAGGAATATGAGAAGCATGACGAATAGGTATACAGTATATCGCTGCACACACACACACACACACACACACACACACACATTATATTATACTGTGTATGCTATGGTAAATAATGATAATTGTACGCTTAAGCCTTAAAACAAAACTGATCTTTTTTCTTTAAATAGTGATAAGTTTTGGTTTTTATTGCTCCACCTTAATGAAGATGTGAATTACACGAAAGCGCTTGGGAACTTCGTGTTTTCTTTTTTCCATGTGGTTATCAGCATATATATATATATATATATATATATATATATATATATATATATATATATATATATATATATATATATATATATATATATATATATATATATATATATATATATATATATATATGTCATATTTCATATACAAAACTACGTAACTACACAACTACACTAGGCAGTTGGAACAAGTTGCAAAAGATCTTAACACAGATAAGGTTAGTTTGTTTGGATCTATAACTGAGTGACCACCAGCACACGCTGCCTGCCACACTGCACACTAACTCCTCAGTGCTCCTCTACCCTGGGCAGAGCAATTATCTGATTTCTTATTGCACCCAAAGTTTTAATTGGACAAAACACTGGAGGCAATAGACAGTGTGGTTAGGTGTAAATACTTTATGACTGGATATTTGAACGACGTGCTGCAGATTTTAACTCTAGCGAAAAAGGATCTCATTAACTAGAGCTTGGTAGTGTTCCAGCCTTTACTGTGTCTGGTCAAAGTTTGTAATTTTTGGCATCTGTAAATTTTTATCCTGGAAGGTAATGAGACAACTTACACTCAGATTTTTATATTGTTCCACTGATTCAGATTACACTCATACCGACAGATTACATACATTACCCGCACTTTTATTTACTCGCTTGTTACAACTACTTTGTCTAAAATCCGAAAAGTGATGAAGAGTTGGAAAACCTGATGAAACAATATGAGGTAAACTGAAAAGAAACGAAAAAATGTGAATAAACGTTAATAATAAAACAAATGAGACGAGGTACAAGAATCACCTTTTCTCGTTGTCTAGCGTTTCTGAATAACAATGGTTTATTTTCCTCTACAGATGGAATATGTCTTTTGAGAAAAGTGCCATTTATATTTCCGATAAAGACAATTGTAGATGTTTTCTTCCCTAAGGGATAACATCTTAAACACTCTACACCCATGAAACAGCAGCTAAATTAACTATATCAATGTCAATATTTTTCTTGCTAATTTTTTGTGTATATTATTCTGGCTATATAAATCAGTTTCAAATTCCTCTTAATCTCCCTCGAACATATTTAAAGGTACAACAACGTCCACACTCTAATCAGTAAAATTTATCTCTTATTCTTCATACACCTTATTTATCAGATCTGTGTTTGTCATCAGTCGGTGGAAGTTTACATTATGATGTGGTGACTGAGCGACCGGTAAGGTGAGTGAAAAAGACGAGAGATACTGTACAACCCCAGACGTCAAGCTTGACGGGGTTGTTCCTGGTATATCCTGGAGCTGTGAGTCAAGCTGATGGGTTGAAAGCTTGGACAGCCATGTCAACTGGGTGTTGATGTTGTGCTTTAAAAATCGTTCCGTCTTTCACCAGTGAGAGGAGTGAGCTGCATTTCCGAGCTTATAACTGAAGTGTTCCGCCTGTTTGAAGGTTTTTTCAGAGAGGTTCATTGATGTTTGGGTTTGGCGGCCATCTTGGATTTACAAAAATTGTTACCGCAAGCGGTACTGAATATGATGACACATAAACAAACATTATGTTTGGCTGTAAGTCATGTCATGCTTATTGGGTGTGCCTGCCCGTATACAGTAT